GTTTCTGGATGGGCTGGTGGGGATATTTTTTTTCGCGCGCGACACAGAGCAACTGCGCGCCGTCAAAAACAAATGGTGAAGATATTTTTTCGGTCGCGTCCGCCAGCGACAGCGCAAGCGGAGTCAGAAGCGTTCCGGGACACGGTAAAAGACGCGAAGCGTCTAGAATTTTGGCAAGTTTGTCGTCTCAGAGAAATCGAAGCCGAAACAGCCGCGTGGCCAGATACCTCTCCTTCATTCAGAATATCCGGCATGCCTCGCAGCTCGGCCGCCGAGCGCAGCTGAGACCAGCCGGGAAACGATGCAAAGATGTGGTCGGTGCTGCTCGACGGGCCCATAGATTTGTTGAGACGCGCCCGCCCCCGCTGCCGCCGCCGCGCACCGCCTCCGCCTCTGTGGACTGCGAGGGGATGCGCTGCCAGACACGATCGCGGCGACGCTGCCTGTCTGCTCGAAGCTGCCCGCGAGCTCCAGGCGAGGGGGAAGGAGAAAAGGGGGCGAGGTCGGCGACGCTGAGGTCCCCCACGAGGATGTCCACGGACAGGGGCGGATTCTGCTGGACCCTCAGGAGGTCTAGCTTGATAGTCTTCTAGATATTGTCGGTATATCGGCGACTCATCATGATCATGGGCGTTGTAGTGAGCAGTCCAATGGAGAACTCGACGGTAACTCGCTGAGCCCTGCTGGGAACCCAAATGGTGCGCTCTAGGTTGGGAGGCCCGAGAGGCTGAGTCTCGGCGAAGTCGGGGGCGCACGCGGCAGCGCCCCGTGCGCCAAAGAAGGACGAGTAGGCGAGGACAGGGCGATGGAGGTGATAGAGAAAATCTTGCACAACGACCGCCCCACGGGCCAACGGTTTCTTACGGCAAGAGAAATTCTTGGAACGTGCCAGACCGTGAACGACGAGCGCACGAGCGTTCAACGTCGAGAGACTCAGGGGGTAAACAGACGTGGCAGCAAGACAATACCAGGACCACCACCAAATATTCGCCTCCTGCCGGCTGCTGAACCCGCGCAGATCCCCGAGGAACCGACCCTCGTCGAAGCGGAGGTCGGCGAGGTTGGCGGAGCAATGCTCGATGGTGGGGATTGCCGTGGAGCTTTGCGCGCATGCCCTGATGAGCCGCTTCTACTGGGGCGAACAAGATTCCAGCGACTGGTCAGTGAAGAACTTGGCCTGCGGGCAAGAGGTCCACTGTCCCAGCTCGCACCTCTTTGAGCGGAATTTCAGCGCGCACCATGGCGGGGCCTCCTTTCCACAGCGACGGGCACCTCCGCGTCGGTTTGGGGGGCGGTCTTGGCGGCGACGCGATGCCAGCTGCCGCTCCTGACGCGCCGAAGTCCCGATGGCCTAGGCAACGCGCCTCGCGGCCAGAGCGCCCCGCCCCACCGCGCGGAAGACGAAGCGCTTGTCGATAGGCTCGCACTCGAGCACGCGCGTGCTGAAACCCAACTCTTTCCAAGTATGGTTGGGTCGGGTCGAGGAGGGGCTGCTTCGAGACTGGTCCCTTCGCTCGCGCGATGAAGATCGACGCGTCGGGGCGGCGATTGAACGAGGCATCCTGAATCGGAGCTGAGTCAGGCTGCTCTTGCTGCAGAGCACCGAGATGGTTGCGCAGGTCCGTGATCTGCTTCTCGAGCTGGGCCACGCGCGCCTCGTGCCGGTTTTTCCCGCTTTCCACGCAGGCCAGCCTTCGCTCCCGAGCAGCTGGGGGGGCACTCGCGTGGCCAGGTTGGCAACAACTCCTTGCCGGTCCTGGGTCGCCTGGAGCAGCCGGGACTTTGTGGCATCGACGCGCTCGCGGCGGACTGCGCCCACATATCTTCGCGTGCTTCTTTACAAGAAGAAAGAGCGGCCGAAACATAAACTTTCGACGGTCCGCTCGGATTTCTTGGATCTGCGCTGGGCCCCCCATGCGGGTGATCGGGCGATCGATGCTTGTGGCGCGGGGGCTAGCCGCAACGCAAAGACTACAGGGTGCACCTAGGTTTTGGGAAGAAGCGGCGGCGGAGGGCAGGTAATATAATGCGCGACGCATTGAGCCGTCACCACCGCCCTCGCACACGCACTGATCCTATTTCTTCGCTCCCAAAAGCTGGGCGAGCACTCGCGCGGGCACTGAAACACGCGCGCGCGTGCAGAATGGCTGCCGACAGGCAATGACTATAAATCACAAGAAACATCGCGATATGAAAACGTGCACGGCGAGCAAGCACATTATAATCAGGTGCGGAAGCAGTTCACTGGCCATTGTCGGAACCAGGCATATTGCGAGGGATGTGCGGCGTCCTTGAAACCAATCGACTAAACTGACCAATCACATCCACCGGCCTAGTCAACACATCGGCTAACATATGTGCTGCGGGAGCCCAGCGCATGGCACATCCATGCAAATACTCTCGCGCGGGCACACTGCTGCATCCAACTGCACAGCCTCTCGCAACCAGGCCAGATCCATGATCAGTCGCTCTCCCTGGGGTAGTTTACCTGAGTCCCGGCGCAGGGTGTCGTGGAGGGACTTGCAGTCGGTCACGCAAGTGATCGGCAGCATGCGCATGTTGTCCAGCATCTCACGAATGGTCACGTCCAGGTCCACGGGCATCATCTCGACAATCACCGCGCGCACGAACTCAGCTGAATCGAAGGCCTCTGTGCAGCTCTGAATCTCGGCAGCGAAGGTGCTCCTCGCCACTCGCGGCAGCGCGCGACTCCTCCAATCCACAAGGGTCGCCTTGCGTGGGCGACCTTCCGCCGCGGCGCGTTCGCACGCGTGGACCGAGTGAACCATCTCGCCCTGGGCGATGCGCCGTAAGGCCTCGTCCTCCGCGAGCGCATTCCCCCAAGCGGCGTCGTGGTAGATGACCGGGCACCGCGTGGGCTCCAGGTCAAGCTTGGGCAAGTGGAACTTCTCGCTTGCCAAACTCTGCAGGACCGCAATAGGCTTGTTGAGGTCTAGCAGGTCCAGCAGGTCCTGCTTGCGCTGCGCCACTGATACGGTACATGAAAGGTCGTGTCTCGTCTTTCGGGCTGGCCATCCGAGACTCCCGACTGCACTCCGACTGTCCGCGATCTCGCGAGCGTTGCACTCCAGGCTCGGGTCGCGCTTCTGGGCCTTGCCGATCTCGACCGATTCGATCCCCCCTCGATGAAGGTCGACTGGTCGAGCAGGAAGCCCCCCTCAAAGTCCGCCTGCAGCAGCTTCCCGCAGAACATCACTGGTGCATGTCGCCACTCGCCGAAGTTGAAGAGACCACGAACTCCTCGACGTAGGGCCTGGGACTTCGTGGCTACGAGGAGGTCGTCCGCGTGCGCGCAGACAAGGGTGCACAGCCTCCCATCCTCGTTGAATCCACGAAAAACGGCTGGGTCGAGTCGGGACTGCATCGCGATGATAGGGTTGCCACACTCGTCCTTCAGCTCCGCCTCGACCAGCCCTCGACGTAGACGTCGCCACCGCAGCCGCGCAGCCGCGGCGCATCCGCGAGCCCGAAGACTCCGCTCGACCTTCAGGAGACAGCGAGGGCCCATGCCGGGGGGGGCCCTCCTTGGGCTGCGACATCTAGAGCTCCTCGGCACGTCCGCGCCCCTCACCCTGCATGAAGGCATACTCGATATCTTCAGCCACGACGTCGAAGTCGCGCGCCGCCACCGCCAGGAAGGTAAGCACCGAATGTCTAGACACCGTCGGTGCGTCGGTCCGAAGGCCCAGCGTGAGGCCAGGGTCGTTGTGGCCACCGCGCCACAGTCGCACCTTCGGCTTGGGCGGCGCTCCCTTGACTCCAGCGTTCTTGTTCCGGTAGAGGAACCTAGACGTCAGGATGCGGCTGTGATGGGCCCGCTGGCGTGCCTTCTGGCTCTCCTCGAGAGGGGCTCGACGGCGTCGTAGCTTTCCCACTGCTTCCACTGCAAGTCTGCCGCCTCCCGGTAGAGGTGGCGGCTGCTGGCTGGGACCGCGTTCCATTGCATCTCCTTCTCCAACGATCGACGTTGCGGCCGCGTGGTGTTCCAGCTCCGCCTCGCATTAAGCCCGAAACTGAAGTTGGCGAGGTGGACTGGCTGTTCAGGATGACCCCCGGGATGTGGAAACGGTCCGACGGGGAATGGGCGGAACACTTTGCCATGGCGGGCCTGCAGAGCCGCCCGTCGCTCCAGGAACTCCTCTCGGTCGTAGGGGGTCCCTTGCTCTGGGGGCGGGGCCTGGGCTGAGCCCGAAGCTGACGCCGATGTCGCAAGCTCTGCTTGGGCCGAAGACGGTGGCCCAGACGGCGCAGCCGCCTCCTGCCGCTTGCGAGGTGGCTCCTCCTCTGGCCGCTCAGCCTCCGGAGCTGGGCGCGTCTCCTTGACGCCCAGGAAATCGTCTTCCTCGATGCGACGCATGTCGTCCTCCTGCTCGTCAGCTCGCTCCTGGGGGATGTCCCCCAGGCCCCGGCCTTCCCTCCGCTGCATTGGTCGGGCTTTTTCCTCTGCCTCACGCGGCCCACGTCCTCATTTGTCCTCGAACTCGGGCTGATCCTCCTTCCCGATCTGGCGGATCAGCTCGTTCAGCTCCTCGGTGTTAGGGTCATCACCCTGCCTGGGCCCCAAGATCTCCTCATCCTCGGCGGGTCGGAGCTGCTCGTGAGGAACTTGAACGGCTCCAGCCCCGTGCGAAAGCCAGAAGTTCGAGGCGCCCGCTGGGCCGATGACGACCGCTGGTCCTCGCCACTCGCGAAGTTTCGTCTTCTTGCGCAGCCGCCAGTTGAACGCCAAGTCGCCAGTCTGGTAAATGACGCGCGCGACCCTCGGCTTCCGAAAAAGCGCCCGACGGAGCGCCCGACTGTTCTGCAGATCCACGAAGGCCGTCCGCGCAGCAGCGCGGATCGCCATCCTCCTGGCGAGGTCGGTGGACGCGCCATGCATGCTGTGCTCTGCTATTTGGCCAGGCCTGTCGATCAGGTCTGCTGACATCGTCGGTGGGCATCCGTGGACCCACTGCGACGGTGAAAAACCGCAGACCCTCCTCATGTCGTTCTTGTCCTGGCAAGTCCCCCAGATGGCGGTCTCGAGGTAGCCGCGGTCCTTGACCGACTTGTGTTCGACCGCTCGGCTGACCATGAGCTTAAGCCATCCTCCGCGTCGCTCTGTGCTGTTGTTCTGCCACTGCGACTGTCCGGCCACGGCCTTGACGCGGATGCCCATCATGTCCATGGCCTCCTGGAACTCGGCGTAGAACATGCCGCCAGGGTCGAGCCTCGCCACGTTCGGCGGCCCCGCAGGCTACAACTCTCGGAAAACCTCGGCAACTGTGGCTGGCTTCCGATTCTTGAGGTGGCGGGCGACGCGGTGCGTCGCGGAGGCCTCGACGATCGACGGGAACAGGTAGGGTTTCCCATGCGCGTTCCGCAGGTGGGGGCCGTCGACGCCCAGCTCGTCGCTGAAGCCGCCAACTGGCGACAAGCGTGAGACTCGATGTGGGCTCGACGCAGACTTCGTCCGATTGCGCGTGGCGCAGCGTAGGTGCTTGGCCACGCGGACGAGAACATCGCCCACGCCGTTGGGCCTCAGGTCCCTGGCCAGGTCGTCGCCCGAGGGGTGCCCGATGTTCTGGCGTAGGCGTCGCAGCTGGGATCGAACCTTGAGGGCGGAACTCCAACCTTTACGGGCTCCCACGGGTTCCTCCTCGGGCGCCTCGTCGCCGTCGTCGTCTGCGTCCGCTGCCATGGCATGGTGCGTCTGGTTCAGCACCTCCTCGAAGGCGCCCACGATGCGTCCGTTGAAGGCCTTGGTGTAGACCTGGCTCCAGGAGATCCCCTTTCTGCCGAACCCCTTCAGCTCGACCTGCCCGTGACCCTCTGGACACCGCAGGCCGCAGTGCTTCTCCAAAGCCTCATGGGTCGCCAGGACCCTCGCGGGCTTCTAGGCGGCTTTACCTGCGCGTGGGAACGTCGTGCCGTGAGCGCAAACATCGGTCTGGAACTCAACTGCGCCCGGTAGCTGCCTGGGCTTCCTCCACGGCCCCTCGCCCCAGGATCGCCCCAGCCGAGGGTGCTCAAGTGCCGCTATGCGGCCGCCCTCGTACTGCGTCGCGAAAATCGTCTCCACGAGCTTCAAGGTCGGCACCTCCTTCAGCCGCGCCCGCCGCGGGCGCTGCTTGTCTCCCTTGAAGACAAGCTTCTGCGCGTGGCTCCATATCCTGCAGAGCGGCCCCAGCGCCGCGCAGTCCGACCCCTCGCGTTCGACGAACTCGACCAGCTCCTCCCTGGCGGCCAGCTTCGCAAGGTCATCGCCGCACTCGATGCCCCAGGGCTGGCCCACTCGAAAACCTCGGCGAGCAGCTTCCCGGGGCGCGGCAGCCTTGCCGCCCCAGATCTCCACGAAGTCGAGCTTAGCAGCGCCGCCCTCGTCGATGGCGAGGCGCGTCTCCTTGGACGCGGACTCCGACTCGGCCCCCTTGAAGATGCCGCTCGCGGGGTCGAGGCCGGCCGACTCGCCAATGGTCACCGCGAGGCACATGGCGGGCAGCGCCCGCTGAGCACGCGCTTCTTCATCCTGCGGCGCAGGCGCCGCTGCACTTGGCCAACTGGAAACCAAAGCCGAGGTGGTGCATCAGCTTCCTGTCCGCGTCGCTGTCGCTCGCCGTCGGCTGGCTCGCCCCGCTTGTCTCGGTCTCGCTGTCTTCGTTGATATTCTCCAGGTCGGGGCCCCAAGCCGCCTCCGATGGCGGCGCCGCTGCTGTCGCAGCTGTCCGGCTCGTCATCTCCCGAGCCCCATCCAAGCGATCGTCGTTGCCGCCCAGGCCCATGCGAGATGACGTACGCGGGGGGCGTCGTTTCTGGAGCTTTGCCTGGAGCTCTCTCTTCACGGGCGGCGTGTTGGGCACGGCCTTCGGCGGTGGTCCGCTGGGCGCGGCCTTCGGCGGCGGCCCGCTGCGCGGCCTCGCCGAACCTGATGCCAAAACCTGCAAGGACCTAGCGGAGACCGCGCATGCCGGCATCGGTTCCTCGGCCGCTGCCCACGCCTTGACCCCGAGCTTCAGCGCGTCGACCGCCCCCTTGATAGCGATGCCCGCAGCCCGGTAGAAGGCGGCGGCCTCGTGCTTCCTGAGCTTGCTGAACCCCGACGCCAAGTCCGACCGCACCGTGCACATCCTGCGCATGGCGCCCTCGGGTGGTCGGACCGCTCGCAGGCTCTCTCGCAAGGCTGCACGCGTCTCGTGCCCTGGGGTCTCCACCCCGATGGTCAACGGCTCCTCGCGCAGCTCCGCCATCGTTGTCTGAGTGGCCCCCTTTCCGCTTCGGTCGCACATGGGCCATCCTCGAGACGATGCACTTCCGGTACCCCAGGCTCACCATCACGCCGCGCATGGGAGTCATGAGAGCCCGGACCGCATTCATCATCAATTGAGCGAAGCGCCACCATGCTCGGCGAAGGTCCGGCTGCTTCTGAATCGCGCCCCTCTGGGCGGGCATGCGCCCCGAAGGGCTCAGTGGATATGGCGCGCGAAATCGAAGTAGCTCGAGTCCACAACCGCTACGGGTGTCGACGCACGGGTTTGGCCGTTCTTGAGCTCTGCTTGCCTCGCCCGCTCTCCGTTTTCGCATGCTCGGCCTCCACGCTGATACACTCGATCTCCGCTTCGATAAGCTCGCGCCCCGCTTTGATAAGTTCGGTCTCCGTTTCGAGGGGCTTGATCTCCGTTTTGATAAACCCCGCTGGAATTGTCGCTCAGCTTCGTCGCGCTGCTGCTGCGGCTCCACTGCTTCATATTGCTGCTCAGCCTCGTGTTTCTGCTCGTTTTCGTAAGACCATGGGCGTTTGCCCCTTGTCCTGGACATGGCCTGGCACAACGGAGTAGCATGTCCAATGGTGATGAGATGGATGAGGGCCCTGGATATGCATTACATGTCTGGCGCCGTCTCGTCCAAGACTGCTCCTGGCGGTGCCGCCCAGCCTTCTGCTGGAAACTGATACAGGTTGAGCAGCGGGTGCTGGGAGTCAGCTTCTGTGACCGGCACTGGTGGCACGCCCAACTCCTCTGGAAACTGAAGGAACTTGATCTCGGATCGTCGCGGATGCCGAGCTGCTTCGCCGCTGGCCTCGAAAAGGGCAGCAGCGGGCCTCCAGGTGCGATGCTGACTCGTAAAATACCCGAATTGCGATGCGAAATGCAAATCGGGATGAGGGCTGCAAACGCACTCCAGACTGGGTCGCCAGCTCCGAACCTGAACCGCTCCTCCTCGGCGACCAGCTGGCATCTCAAGCCTCGGGCGCAGCGTCTCAGCATCGGCGCCCACAGCTTGAGCATGTTGTAGCCGATGACGCAACTCGTGCATCCGCTGTCGTAGATGGCGAACCACATGTGCTTCCGCATTTCCTCGAAAGACGCGAAGATGAATACAGGAAACGAGAAGACAAGGAACGAATCAAAGCCCGCGGTCGTGTTCGTCTTCTTCTTAGTCGCAGTTGTGGGCACGCTCCTGGTAGCCATCGAGCTTGTCGAATTCATAGCTGCGAGAGCCCTGTGGGGCTCCGCCTCCGCGCACGCGCTGTCATGAATCGTCACCAGCGGCCTGCGAGGAGGGTGTCCGGGTCGAGTCTTGGGGCACTCAGGGCCCCCCTACCAGTGTCCTCGCTGGTCACATGCTTTGCAGATAAACGTCTTCAACTCATCGATCTCTTTCTGCCGCTTTGGGCCCCGCTGAGTTCCACGTGGAGCCGCCGGCGGTGGGAAAACCCGCTCGTTCTTGAAATCCTTCGTCTTGAACTCGGCGCTCGTGAACTTCGCCCGGGACCTGTCCTGGTGCTGCAACCGCTTGCTGCTCTCTCTGAATGTTGCCACGTGCACCTTCGCCAGAGCAGCCATCGTCGCCTCCTGACCGTCAGCCTCGTCGTCGTCCTGGTCGTTATCCTCTGGGTCTTCGAAAGCGTCCACGCCTGGGAGGTCGGTTGGGTCTCCGCCGTTAGCCAAGAACGACTCCTCGTCGTCGTCGTGGTCATGGAGGTACTCGCTCATCGGGTCGTGCTGATCGTCCATTTCGGCGTGCATGGCCCTCTGTTGGCCCCCTTTGGGAGTCCATGTCCTGGTGAACTTCTTCGGCTTGAACGGCTGGTCTTGTCCGCGGCCCGTCTTGTCAAACTCAGCGACGTTCGGGCAAATCCTCTCGACCGCGGCTGACGTGATCCTGATGTCGTAAGCATTGTTCGCACTGGCCAATACTATCGCTCTGCGATCGCTCGGGAGCCTCGGCTTCTCGAGAAAGAACCGTCCGAGCACAACCGGCGGCAACGTCACAGCGAACTTGGCCAGCCTGTGCACAAGTGTATTAAACCGTCTATGCAATGTCCGTATCTGCTCCTGATGCCGCCTCTTAAGCAGGACGAAGAGCTCACGTATCACATCGCCCTGTCGTAGGACCTCCTGCTCTTCGAAGCGGTCCTTGAGGTTAAGCATGAGAAGCTCGAGGCCGCCTGGATCCGCGAGCCGCTCTAGGCCGATATCTTCGACAGCGGCCCACGCGTGTCGTCCGGCAGCCTGGCGTACAGCGCTGGCCCACGGCGCTCTTGCTTCAGGGAGGTCGCCAACTGCCAGGCCTCGACGCGCCACGAGAAGTCGCGCCATCCCGTCCCGTCGAAGATGGGAATGGGAAGGTTGTCTCGAGTGCCGCCGCTGTCTCTGTCGGTGCCTCTGGGCTCAAGCACCGCGTCGTAGTCCTCTGCCTCCTCGTCGAACTGCTCGAACGACTCGTCCACGTCCTGCCTCTGAGGACGCAGTCCCCGATCAGCTCGGCCGCGATTCGGAGATGTCCACGCGCGTCCCGACATGGCGGGCCGTGGGGATCAGCGCAGAGTGGTTCCGTATGCGTAGCGTAGACCAAAACCAAAAGCTCCGGCTACCAATGTGAGTGAAAAGCTGAAAGGTGCACCTGGGCTTTGGGAAGAAACGGCGGCGGAGGGCAGGCAACACAATGCACAACATGTTCAGCCGTCAACACTGCCTTCGCATTCACACCCTCTCCCTGGCGCGCGGAGCGCGCCAGGGGCGGCGCTGGAGGCGCCGCGGGGGGGGGGCCCAGCGCGGATCCAAGAAATCCGCGCGGAGCGCCCAAAGTCTATGTTTATGACGTTTTTCCTTTTTTTCCGATTCTTGGATGGGATCGTGATCGCGACCATCAGGGCAGGAGCAGAAGCAGAAGCAGAGCAGACCATCGGAGCAGAAGCTCCTCCGCCTCCTCCTCCTCCTCCTCCTCCTCCTCCTTCTCCTCGCCCTCCTCCTCCTCGCCCTCCTCCTCCTTCCCCCCTCTTGGCAAGCGGTATCAGAAGCCCGCGGAGCAGACGAAGCCCGCGGAGCAGACGA